ATGGCTTTCAAAAGGACACTGGGTGGTTGAAATCGCCCCACTCCATTCAGAAAAGCGTGAAGTTTCAGTATCTACCCGTGACGGCCCGCCCCGGCGTGGGGCACGACCCCAGACGCCGCCCAGCACGCCCCAAGACAGCCCAAAAAACCCCCGGGAGACTCCGAAAACTACCCCAAACGGCTCCAAGGAGGCCCACGAGGGCTCAGGCAGGGCACTGCCAGCCTCCAGGGGGGGTCCAAGGGAGGCCCCCAGATGCTCCAGACGCCGCCGCCAGCCGCCGCAAAACAGCCCGAGAAACCCCCAGGAGAGCCCGAAGACGGCCCAAGAGGGCCCCCGGAAGGCCCGAAGACGGCCCCTACGGGTGCCCCGAGGAGGCTCCCAGACACCTTAGACTGCCCCAAGAGGGCCCAAGACGGCCCTATGAGAGCCCGAAGACGGCCCAAGACGGCCCCAGGGGAACCCGATGACGGCCCCCAGGGGGGCCCACGGGCGCCCACGGCTCCCGAAGGCGGCACAGAACAGCCCCCGGGCGTCCAACATCGTCCAAGGATGCCCCCCAAGAGGCCTCCCCGCGAGAGCCCCCACGGGGGCCCCATGGCCTCCGAGGGCGGCCAACACCGCTCAAGGATGCCTCCAAGAGGCCCCCCCGCGAGAGCCCCCCACGGGGGCCCCAAGGCGCCCCCCAAAACGGCAAGGGAACCCTCCCAGACGGCTTCTGGTCTTGTGCCCCAGCGTGGCCCCAACACTTTCCCAGATGCACCAGAGGCGTCCCTCAGAGGACAGAAGACGCCCCCCAGGCAGACGACGACCGCGACATCGTCGATCATCGAACCTCGAATGTTCGACGACGACGACGACGCCGACTCAGAGCCCCATGCCAAGCTAAGCCACGAGCGCCGACGGTGAGCGTACGTACTTCTCCCTACTCCCTTCGGCTTCATTTGGTCGTTGATACTGCGACTCGTCAAGTCGCGAGTATATGTTTTTCCTCCTGCTGTTTCCTACTGCTTCCTATTGTTCCCTTATGATCCCTCCCATCTTCTCCTCTTCCGCCTGGCGGCGCGCAAAATGCGGCGGGGCCTGTCAGAAGCCCTCCCGCCTGCCGGCGGGCCCTCCCAGAAACCCCTTAGAGTTGTCAAGACTTCCTTTCCTTCGGTAGCAAATCATGGAAGCCTTGTTCGGTGAGCTTCGGGTAATCGGCGGGATAGCCCCGAATGAGCGTCGGTTCGCGTCGATTAGCGTCGAGTCGCAAGAGCCAACACGATGGTATGGGAGGCGCCCGTGAGTTACCACCGTAGAGGGCCACATGCGAACCTTACCCCTGCCCCCCACGATTTCTGAGGGGGATGATGGGGTTCACTTCGTTCGGGAGCTCCCGAGCGAAGTGAACCCCACCCTGCCCCTCAGAAGCCGTGGGGGGTAGGGGTAGGGTTCGCATGTGCCCCCCTGCACCGAACTTCCCCCTGCCTTCTTCGAAGGCCACCCCGCCTCGCCCCGCTCCCTGCGGGCCGCCAGCCCTTCCCCCCCTCCCCACGCCCGGGCGTGCATTTCGAGCCGATCGACCCGATGCGATGTTCGGGCGATGCGATGCGGCCCGACGCCCGTGTGGCGTCGCTTTGCATCCCGCCAGAAATTCGCTTCTGAACGCCTTTGGCCTTCGATGCTCCGCGGTTTCGCCCTGGTGGCGTGGACTTCGTGGCCGTACTCGGGCACCGCTCTTCTTTGTTCAGTTCCTCCTCTTCCTCCTCCTTCTCCTCCGGTCTTCGGGTGGATCCGGCGATGCACAAGAAGCGTTGAAGGAACCCCAAGACTCCTCGACACGTCGCCGGGATCCCGAAACTTACTTGCCGCAGGTCCTTGTACCACCTCCGAGGGTGCTCCAGAGTCGCCACTGCATGGAGCGCGCGCCTAGTTCTAGTATGTGTATATGTGTGTATATATACACATATATATATATATGTGCATCTCTCGTTCTCTCTGTCTCTCTCACTATGAATACATACATCTCTCTCTCTCTCTCTCTTTCTGCAGATATCCAGCTGCTAGCGGCAAGTCCCGCCACCGTGCAAGCTAAGCATTATGAGTAACGACTGTTCGAGGGGGCACGGGAGTCCGTTACATGTAACACCTCGTGTCACTAGGCTTGGGAGAGCCGTGACGATGATGGTGATGCTGATGATGCTGATGATGGTGATGATGATGGTGATGATGATGCTTATGATTATGCTGATGCTGATGATGCTGACGATGGTGATGATGATGATGATGATGATGATGATGATGATACTGCTGCTGATGATGATGATGATGATGATGATGATGACGCTGGTGCTGCTGCTGCTGTTGCTGATGATGATGATGGCGGCGCCGACGATGATGATGGTGGTGGTGATGATGACGATGCTGCTGATGATGATGGTTCTGATGATATTGCAGAGGATGAGGATGAGGATTATGATGAGGATGAGGACGAGGATGCTGATGATGCTGATGACGATGGTTTTGATGATGCTGACGATGATATTGAGGTTGATGTTGTTGGTGATGATGCTAATGATGCTGATGATGATGCTGATGACGACGTTGACGATGCTGCTGCTGCTGCTGATGATGATGATGATGGTGGTGATGATGATGATGATGATGATGATGATGATGGCGTTGTTGATGATGGTAATGCTGATGACGATGTTGCTGTTGCTGCTGCTGCTGATGATGATGATGGTGATGCTGCTGCTGCTGATGATGATGATGCTGATGATGATGATGATGATGATGATGATGATGATGATCATCATCATGCTGATGATGCTGATGATGATGATGATGATGATGATGATGATGATGATGATGATGATGATGATGATGATGCTGATGATGCTGATGCTGATGATGCTGCTGATGATGGTGAGCAGGAGGAGGAGGAGGAGGAGGAGGAAGAGGCGGGGGGAGGGAGAGCAGGAGCAGGAGAAGCTAGGTGCATACTTGTCATATCTGACGTCCTACCCCTCCTTCGCGTCCCTTACTATTGCGTGGAATCCACTCGATTTGCACAGTCGCATGGCGAACGGGGCCATGATCCCGTGAGGGTGCGCGATGCATGCTATAGCACGACATGGTAATTATGACATCGCGTCGAGAACGTGGCACTTTTCGACAACGAGGTCAGAGGGAAACCAGCAATGGCACAGGACGGGAAGTGCAAATGGACGGCTTGGAACGCGGGACGCGCACAATGAGATCAGCGTTGCGGTGGGAGCACGATGAAACATGATACCAGCGCTGCAGTGAGAGCACGATTTGGATGGATTCGAAGCGCGGAAACGAAGCCAACGCTGCAGCAGGAACACGATTTGTAAGAGCCGAAACAATGAATCGAAGTCAGCGATACCGCGGGACCATGACTCGGGAGGGCTGAGAAAGGGAACATGGAGCCAACGCGGTAGTGGGAGCGTCATTCTGTAAGGATTGAACACGCTCGGAGTTGAACACAATACTAGCTATGTGACATCCTATAAAAAAAAAACAAGTAGAGCGCGGAGGAAGCCAGGCTACCTCATCATCATTTTTGCGGGGGTGAGAGGCGAGTAGTATTCATATTGTGTAAGTGTAGAGAAAGGCCGTCAGATGTGACGCCTTTCGTCTTCACTACTCAAGGAGCTCTCATGGAACTCGTTTGGGCCGTCTTGTGGCTGTCTTGGCCTCCTGTGAGGCAGTCATGGGCCCCCCTTGGGGCTCTCTTGGGCCGTTTCGGGGCCCTCTCATGCCGTCTTTGGACTCTTGGGCCGTCTTGGGGAACTCTTGGCCGTATGGTGGGTGCTTGGGGGCCGTCGTGGGGACGTCTTGACGCCGTCGTGGGCAGTCGACCGACCTTCTATGGCCGTCTTTGGTCCCACCTGAGGCCCTCCTGGGCCGCTTTGGGGCGGTCTTATATGCCTCTTTGGCCCTTCTTTGGGCCCTCCTGGGGGGCCTTTTGGGCCGTCTTAGAGCCAGCGTGTAGGCTTCTTGGGCCGCCTTGAGCTGACGCACGCCCGAACAGGCGAGAATACGACAATCATTCAACTACCTCAGTTGGGGCCCATGATTTTGGCTTCCGTCGGGCCTCTTGGGGCCCCTTCGGGCCCGTTTGGATGCATTTTGGGCAGTCTTGATGCCAGACCCGGCCGCCTCGGGGCAGTCTTGGCCCGCCTTCGAGACATCAGCCTTCTTGGTTGCCTTCGTGGCCTGCCTGGGCCGTATCGGAAACTCGGGGCGCGGACGCCTCGTTTTTTTTACGAGGGGCCGTAGCCCTGGCAGCGCGGATCAACCGTTTGCTGCGAGGGGTCGAGGCTTCGGGATTGGGGTGGTGCATGCAGCGGCCTGCCGGTGGAGTGTGGGTGGTCCTGTATTGTAATGCGTCAACAGCTCTACAGGGCAGCACCTGGCACCCTCAGGCGCCCACAACGTACAGGGACGGTACACATGTTATATATATATATATACACAGCGAGAGAGAGAGGGGAGAGAGAGAGAGAGAGAGAGCAATATAACATCATATATATATATATAGTTACATATAGAGGGACATCATGAATAAGATCTGGGGAGGGAGAGAGAGAGAGCGATAGAGAGAGAGAGAGAGAGAGAAAGAGAAAGAGAGAGTGAGAGAGAGATAGAAAGAGAGAGAGAGAGAGAGAGAACGAAAGAGATATAGAGAGAGACAGATAGAGAGGGAGAGCGAGAGCGGAGCGTGATAATGAGGAAGGGAGGGGGAGATGCCAATTCACGAGAGCAGTCGAGAGCACTGGCGTCCCGTCTTTGGGGCCTTCGCCAGCGTGATTGTATTCGCCTCGAAGTCCTGGTCAGAACACGCCCCAGGACAGGGCTGGGAGTCGAGCGCTACCTGTGCCTGGTCGGAAGATGCGTGGGTCGCGTTTTGATGCCATCGGGGAGGGACCGCTCCCATCCCCCCTTCTCGCCTCCGCCATTACACCGATGACAGCATCATTGCCGCGCTGCAGGTCTTGTCATGGTCTTCGACGGCGATGCTGCTTTGCTGTGGATAGTCTTGCTGGCCGTTTGCGTACTCTGCGGCGTGATCGGCATGTACAGGGTCGACAGAGTGTGGCATACGTCATCACACGGAGCTGATCTACCTTCCCCATCCTTTATTTCCATGGTCGAGCTAAATTGCCAGTGAATGGCATCGTCTCCACTGTCTGTCAATGGCCTTAAACTTTGCTTGACTGAGATTGCCATAATGAATTTGGTATTACCAATTTCCTTGGTGTCGTCAGATGCTTATTAGTACAATTTGCAAGCATCGCTCTGTCAGAGCATATTTGGGATATAAGCGATCAGGGCTTTCCCACTGTCTTGCTTGGTCTCGAGCAATCATGCCTGAATCGAACGCGTGGTGCAAGAACACACTTAGTTCATTTCGTGAAGGGTTCGAATCAAACTCCTTCAACTCAGGATTGCGATCGGATTTTGTTGTGGAGATCATCCGATGATTCAAATTGGAATCCACCAAAAGGGACTCCCAGAGTTATCCGTTCTCAGACAAGCTTCGTGGTTTCACAGTCAAAACAACATAAGCAATCTTACGCAGTGTTTGGCGGCGCCTCCGGCAGACTCCGACATGCTTGCGCGCACAGTGTCCGTGACGGATGGGCCGAGCGAATGAGTTCGTCAGCCTGGGTCACAGGCTGATGAGTGAGTCGTGAACCAACCAATGCTTGTTAGTGAAGCGAGCGTGCGGCTGTGTAAGATGAGCGGATTCGTGCTTTGGGCGACTTGGGAGGTCGCTGGGGGGGGGGGCGTATACACGTACACACACATAGAAGTCATAGTGGGCTGGCCTCTGGCCAGTGCCGCCGATCCCGGGGGGGTGAGAGCGAGATGATGATGATGATGATGAGGATGATGAGGATGATGAGAATGATGTTTCGGCGATTCGGGGCCCTCTTGCATTGTCTAGGGGGCCTCTGGGGCCTCTCTGGGCTTCCTCTTGGGCTGTCTTGGGCGGTCGGGGCTCCGGAAGTGGAGTTTTCTATACCCCCCTGTTCCCGGGTACCGAAAAACGTCGGAAATGACGTCGGAAGTATCCCCGTTTACCGAAAAACGTCGGAAATGACGTCGGAAGTAACGTCCCCCTCCCCCTCCTTGAGAGCGAAGCTTGAGCGAGCTCAAGTCCACGCTCTCAGACACTCACACGCCGGATCGGCGGATATACATTTTTATGTATCAAGTAAATACCAGCGAGACACAGCGAGAGCGAGAGAGAGAGAGGCAGAGCGAGAGAGAAGGCACAGACGCACACACACGAGCACGCACACACACACACCACAGATCACAGACAACACACCACACACCACACACATCACACACCGCACGAACACGCACACGCACATACGCACACACGCACACACGCACACACGCACACACGCACACACGTACACACGCACACACGTACGCACGCACACGGACACACTCACACATGGACACACGCACACACGCACAGGCGCACACGCACACACGCACACACGCACACACGCACCACACACGCACACACGCACACACGCACACACGCACAGGCGCACAGGCGCACAGGCGCACACGCACACACGCACACACGCACCACACACGTACACACGCACACACGCACACACGCACAGGCGCACAGGTGCACACACGCACACGCACACACGCACACACGTACACACGCCCACACGCCCACATGCACAGGCGCACACACGCACAGGCGCACAGGCGCACACACACGCACGCACAGGCACACACGCAGACGCACACACGCACAGGCGCACAGGCACACGCACGCATTCTCACACGCACACACGCATATACGCACACACGCACACACGCGCGCACGTGAACACGCACACACGCACACACGCACATCAGTACACACGCATTCACGCGCTCACTCACACACGCACACACAGACGCACACACGCACAGGCGCACAGGCGCACAGGCGCACACACACGCACACACCCACACACGCACACGCGCACAGACGCACACACGCACTCGCACTCGCCCATGCACACACACACACATACGCACACACGCACGCACGCACACACGCATACACGCGCACACGCACACACGCTCAGACGCACACACACATAACGCACACGCACAAGCACACACGCACACACTCACACATGGACACACGCACACACGCACAGCCGCACACGCACACACGTACACATGCACACACGCGCACACACACGCACACACCCACGCCCACACGCCGCACACACACACACGCGCACAGGCGCACACACGCACACACCCACTCGCACGCACACGTACCCGAACTTGTCTTAAGTCGGCGGCGCTGAAGATCCTCAGGCGCGAGCAGCAGGTGGAAGTGCTAACGCGCACACGCACACGCACACGCACACACAGACACAGGCACAGACACAGACACACAGACACACAGACACACAGACACACAGACACACAGGCACAGACACAGACACACAGACACGGACACAGACACAGTGTCAGAGACGGAGACGCAGACACAGACGCAGGCACCTATGCACACACATGCGTACACGCATATCTTCATACCTATACGACCACCCTTCGGGTGATAAGGAGGTTCGGGGGGGGAGGAACCAACGTCTCACTCGATCGGTCTCACTATCGATCTCACTATCGATCTCAGTATCGGTCTCGCTCGATCGATCTCCCTCGATCGATCTCACAATCGATCTCACTCGATCTATCTCACAATTGATCTGAGTATCGATCTCACAATCGATCTCACAATCGATCTCACAATCGATATAACATTCGGTCTCACTATCGATCTCACTATCGATATCACAACCGCTATCACAATCAACGTCCTCATCATCATCATCTACAACAACATCAACATCAACATCATCATCACCAACATCATCATAATCGGGACACCGTCCTCATCATCAACACCAACATCATCATCATCACGGTCATCAACATCATCGGGACACCACCATCATCATCATCACCATCATCACAATCATCATCATCAGCAGCATCGGGACACAGTCATCGTCATCATCATCATCAGCAGCATCATCATCGGGACACCATCATGATCACCATCGTTATCATCATCATCATCGGGACACCATCATCATCATCTCATCCTCATCATCGACATCATCATCATCAGCATCATCAATATTATCATCAGCATCATCATCATCATCATCGTCATCATCGGGGCACTATCATCATCATTACCAACATCAGCATCAACATCATCATCATCATTACCATCGGGACGCCATCATCATCATCATCATCACCATCATAATAATCATCATCATCATCGGGACGCCATAATCATCATCAACCTCATCATCAGCAACATCATCATCATCGGGACACAATCATAATCAGGATCATCAACATCAACATCATCATACTCATCATCATCGGGACACCATCATTGTCATCATCATGATCATCAACATAATCATCATGATCATCATCATCCTCATCATCGGGACACCATCAGCATCATCATCATCATCGTCGTCGTTATCATCATCATCATCGACATCATCATCATCATCATCATCATCATCCGGACACCATCATCATATCATCATCATCATCGTCCTCATCATCATCATCATCAGCATTACCATCATCATCATCATCATCGTCATCATCATCATCAGTATCATCATCATCAGCATCACCATCATCATCATCATCATCATCATCATCATCATCATCATCATCATCATCATCATCATCATCATCATCATCTCATCATCATCATCATCATCATCATCATCATCATCATCATCATCATCATCATCATCGCGGGACACCGCGGGACACCGGCGGGACACCGCGGGGCACCGCGGGGCACCGCGGGACACCGCGGGACACCGGCGGGACACCGGCGGAACACCGCGCGCCACTGGCCGCCCAGAAGAGACACATTTGGTCGGGCCGCGCCTCAGCCACAGGGACACCGACGGGACACCAGCGGGACACCGGCGGGACACCGCGCGCCACCGGCCGCCCGGAAGAGACACATTTGGTCCGGCCGCGCCTCAGCCACAGGAGACTTTCCTCTCGCCCGCCCACGCAGCTTCGCCTCGCCCGCGCGCACGGCACGCACGAACACGAAACCGAAATCGATTTCCCGGTAGGGGGGCTCTCCGCTCCACTTCGATCTCACCCCCTTCACCTCCGATATCACGCACGCACGGACGCACGAGTGCATGCAGACATATACCGGCATCTACCCCTTTCTGTACACATGCGCACTGACATTGAAGTCGCACCCCGTCTGGCTCGCCGCGCGGCCCCCCCCGCCGTGGCCGCGAGAGCCAGGAGCCCTGGGGATCCTGCGCTCCGTCATCGGCATCGAGATAGGATATCCGCCGGGTTCTGCCCGGGGCGGGCAGACGGCTGCAGCGCGCGGGGCCATCGCTCGCGCCCTCGCGAGCAGGAGGGAGGAGGAGGAGGAGGAGGAGGAGGCGCAGGAGGGAGGAGGATGAGGAGTAGGAGAGGGAGGCGCCAGGAGGGAAAGGCGGAGGAGGGAGGAGGCGGAGAGGAAGGGAGGAGGAGGAGGAGGAGGAGGAGGATGAGGAGGCGCAGGATTGAGGAGTGGAGCGTAGGAGGAGGGGGGAGGAGGAGCAGGAGGAGGAGGAGCAGGAGGGAGGAGGAGGAGGAGGAGGAGGAGGGAGGAGGAGGAGGAGGAGGAGGAGCAGGAGGGAGGAGGAGGAGGAGGGGAGGAGGAGGAGGAGGAGGAGGAGGAGGAGCAGGAGGGAGGAGGAGGAGGAGGAGAGAAGGAGGAGAAGGAGGCTGCGGAAGACGATTTGCGGTCCGTCATGCCCTCTGGGAGCGAGGGAGCGAGGGGCGGGGAGCGTATGCGGGCATGCCATGCCGCAGCTTTTGCAGGCGATTGGGGGTACGGGTTGGCGTGTGCTTCGGAAAAACAGGAGTTGGAGGAGGCAGCGGAAGAGCTGGATGAGGGAGGACAATCTTCCCAACTCTTTTTTGGTCCTCAGTTCGCTCTGGTGCAAGTGTCTGATACGCCCGTGTGAGTTTCGAGCCAGGGGAACGGGGAAAGCTTCACTCAACAACAGAGTATCTTTCATCCCCCTCCTGCCCCCCCTCTCCCCATCGCAAGAGGGGGGGAGGATAAGGAGGATGATGAGGAAGAGTAGGAGGATCCAACAGACGGGTTCTTGCTTGGGCCTGCCTCGAGGCGCAGCAGACAGGTCACCTCTGCGAAAGCCGCCAGCTGGCCCAGACATGTCCCGCCCATCGCCAGCAAACAACAAAGCTCTACATGCCGTCGGTGGCCGGCCAGGCGGGGCGCAGGGGGCAGGCCCAGGGGCTGCTCCACACTCGGCCATCTTGGAGCCATCCTGGGGCTTCAGAAGCCCATCGGAAGCGAAATGGCGAGAAGGCAAGAGACAAGGACACATTGATGTTCCGCAGGTTTTGTAAGGATCTTGGCCCCTCGGCGGCATCCTTGGGAGGCTCTGTGGCCCATGGGAGCCGCCTTGGGGCGGTCTTGTAGCCGCTTGGAGGCATGATGGGAGCTGTCCTGAACCATCTTGGGCTGTCGTGTGCGGTCTTGGAGGCCATCTTGGCCTCTCTGGGGCCATCTTGGTGCCGCCCCGGCAGGAGGGAGGGCCCCATGTTCTTGAAGGATGTGCTTCTGGCCTGGGTCCGGCGGCAGTGCAGTTCGCGGCCCTCGGGCGCCGCACCGATGGTCCACGCTCCGGCTCCTCTCTCCCTGGCCGGGATCCTGGCGGGCGGAGCGCTGGGGAGCGGTCGGCGCAGGGCCGACGAGGGAGGCGGGTGAGAGTGGCCGCTCGGCGAGGATCCCTCTGCGCCTTCGCGGCCTGGATGGGCTTCGAGGGCACCCTGGCGGCCGTGGCGGCGATCGAGGGGCCAATCTCGGAGCAGGGAAAGGTGCCCATGCCGCTGCCCTTCGCCCGTTTTCCGCTTTTTCGGCCTCCTGCGAGGCCCTCGCCGCCACCGCTGGATTGGCCTCGAAATCCTCGTCAGCACGCACCCCAGGAGAGGTCTGTGGAGCAGCGGTATCGGTACATGCTGGTTTCCCTACAGTCGCCGAATGCGTCCTCCTCAGAGGGCATGTGCGTGCAACCCCAGGGGTAGTGCACGCGTACCCTCTGAGGTATCAGTGGTGGTGGCGTACCCCCAGTGGTGGTGTACGCCACCAGCCTGTCAAGAGCCTGAAGCACAGAACGGTGAACAAAAAGCGCACAGCGCGCTTCTGGGGTGAGCCAGAAGCTTATTATTGTACTCGTCCAGGGCCATCCTGGGCCCCATAATTGTGTGTTTGCGGAGGAGGAGGAGGAGGAGGAGGAGGAGGAGGAGGAGGGGGAGGAGGAGTAGGAGGAGGAGGAGGAGGAGGAGGAGACTCGCCTGGCCTCCGCCAGATGGGGCGTATAGATCACGGCAGGGCCCATGATTGCTCTGGCCAGGCACGGTGATGTTGCGTGGATGCGGTCTGCGCATGTCTTCCTCGTCGAGCCCTCACCCTGGCGGCCGCGGCGGCCGTCTTCGTGGCCCCTTGGGCCGTGCTGGGGCCCCTGGGCCGTCTTGGAGTCGTCTTGGGCTACTTTGAGGCCCTCCGGAGCTGTCTTGATTTCCACACGTGGTTTTCGGGGTTTTGGAGCTCCAGAAGAGGTCCACGGATGTGGCGTGGCTTCAGTGTACGGGGCGTGATTGCGGTGCAATGCAAGGCTGGCCAGATCGCGCAGGACCCTTTTGGGTGGGGCTTTCTCGTGTGTCCCTGGTGGTGGCCGCCCTCGTCTTCTTTCTTTCCTCCTGCACGCCGTGCAGCTCGCATTTCGGTTGCCCCGATCAGCTACACGCTGCAGCGGACTGCCTCCTCCTCGCCGCCGACGACAAAAGTGTGGCCTTGGTTCGGTGACGAGCGAGGGGGGGAAATGAGAAGGAGAAGGCCTTCTCAGAAGGCGGCGGGACTTCTCAGAAGCCCGCGCGCCTTCTGAGAAGTTTTTCCCAACCATCCTCTGGTGTTGTGTCCTCGTTTTAAAGAGAGCGCCCCGCGTCACTCACTCCTCCTTCCCCCCCCTCCTTCACCGCTCACATGCTTCACGCACACCCATTTCGGCACACTCCTCAGGTTTCGTGGCCCCAGGGAGCCCCACCGAAGGCCCCAGCGCCACCGCCCGCATGCGCCACGCACACCCATTTCAGCACACCCCTCTCACGTTTCGTGGTCCTATAAGGAGCTCCACCGAAGGCTCCATGGCCACCGCCCGCATGCGTCACGCACGCCCAATTCGGCACACCCCTCACACGTTTCGTGGCCTCAGAGGGAGCTCCACCGAAGGCCCCAGTGCCACCGCCCGCATGCGTCACGCACGCCCCATTCGGCACACCCCTCACAGCTTTCGTGGCCCCAGAGGGAGCTCCACCGAAGGCCCCAGCGCCATCGCCCGCATGCGCCACGCACGCCCATTTCGGCACACCCCTCACACGTCTCGAGGCTCCAGAGGGAGCTCCACCGAAGGCCCCAGTACCACCGCCCGCATGCGTCACGCACGCCCAAGTCGGCATACCCCTCACACATTTCGCGGCCCCACATGGACTTCCACCGAAGGCCCCCGTGCCACCGCCTGCATGCGTCACGCACGCCCATGTCGGCACACCCCTCACACGTTTCGCGGCACCATAGCGAGCTCCACCGAAGGCCCCAGTGCCACCGCCCGCATGCGTCACGCACACCCGTGTCGGCCCACCACACACGTTTCGTGACCCCACATGGAGCTCCACCGAAGGCCACATGCCACCACCCGCATGCGTCACGCACGCCCCATTCGGCACACCCCTCACAGCTTTCGTGGCCCCAGAGGGAGCTCCACCGAAGGCCCCAGCGCCACCGCCCGCATGCGCCACGCACACCCAATTCGGTACACCCCTCACACGTCGGCTCCATAGAAAGCTCCACCGAAGGCCCCAGTACCACCGCCCGCATGCGTCACGCACACCAATTTGAGCACACCCCTCTCACGTTTCGTGGTCCCATAAGGAGCTCCACCGACGGCCCCAGTGCCACCGCCCGCATGCGTCACGCACGCCCAATTCGGCACACCCCTCACACGTTTCGTGGCCCCAGGGGGAGCTCCACCGAAGGCGCCAGGCTGCGTTCGCATGCGTCACGCACGCCCATGTCGGCACACGCCTCACACGTTTCGCGGCACCATAGCGAGCTCCACCGACGGCCCCAATGCTTGCGTTCGCATGCGCCCGCCGCACCTATTTCGGCACACCTCTCGCGCGTTTGATGGCCCCACAGGGGATTTCACCGACGACCCAGAAGCTGCTTTCGCATGCGCCCACGAGGCAAATTTTGGCACACCCCTCACATGTTTCGTGGCCCTATATGGAACTCCTCCGAATGCGGTGCATACAACGACGGTGTTCACAACTGAATCTGGTTGGGCCCTTCTCCAGGCTACTTGTTCCCTGGGTTTTGGACTGGTTCTGGTCTCTTCGGGGCCTCGTTGGGGAGCTGTTTGGCCACTTGAAGCCGTCTTTGAGCGGTCTGGAGGCCTCTTGGAGCATCTTGGGAGCCATCTTGAGGCATCTGAGGATATCTTGAGCCATTTTGGAGCTCATCTTGGACTCTCCGAGGCCCTCTTGGAGCCATCGTGGACCTTCTTGGACGCTACAACCCCTCGGGAGGGGACCCCCTCCAGGTCCAGGGGAGGGGGTACGGGGATGGGGTCAAGCTCGCAAGCCGTCTAGCTCGCTCCCGCCCTCCCTACACACAAGTAACACCCGAGCCTAAGCATGTTCAGTGGTCGTCGTTGGATGGGCAGCTACTGGGAACCAAAGCCGACTTCAGGTGCGCGACGCTTGGGCGAGGTGCGCCACGCGTGCCAGGGGCGCCACGCGCGCCAGGCACCCCTGGGGCCCGAGCGTGCCAGGCACGCCTGGTGCGCCAGGTGCGCCACGTGCTCCGAGTGCGCCAGGTGTGCTGCACACTCCAGCCGCGCCAGGTGCGCCGCGCCCGGGGCACGTGCAGAGTGCGTCAGGTGCGCCTGCGCACGTGGCAGCACACATCGGGAAACATGTCGGCCCTCGCCACCCTTGTCGAAAACCGATGCCCATCATTGTGTCTGGTGGGCCTGCGCACAGCAGGCCACCACCCCCGCCGTCCTTGTCAAAAACCGTCTGACAGTGATCGCGGATGGCCGCGCATGATCCAGATTTAGCAGCGAGGTGCATGTTGTATTGTTTCTTGTCAGGGATGGTAGCCCTGCGTGCAGCAGGGAACATGCTGACACCCCCGCCGTCCTTATCAAAAACCATAAACAGTGCTCTTGGGCCTCACGAACATGACTCAAGACTTTGCCCCAAAA